ATTCTATTCTATTCTATTCTATTCTATTATTCGGGTCTCTGATTATCTCTGGTTAGGCTTCAATGAGATGCAGTGAAAAACTTTTGCTAACTTTATGTATTTATCTAATTTATATAACACCCCCCCCCCCAATCTTACAAGTTATGATTCTGGGAGGCATACAACAAACTAAATATCAAATCTAAAATGTAAAGAGATTAATGTTTATGTTCCCTCCAGCTGCTGAAAGACAACACAATGTCTTTAAATATCCTGAACTGCATTATTAATTGGCCTCCAAATATTTTATCCACTAACATCTTAAAACATTAATGATTCATTAACAATAACAAATAATACTTCACAAAGTCTTGTGATATTAATTTATAATGTCAGGTTTCCTAGAAGTCTTTTTATGTACATTATTTAAGAATTATTCTTCCATGCCACCCGGTATTAAATATAATAACTGCTTTGATATTTTAGAGAAGGAATAGCTCCCTTTACTTTTTTTGAAAGCGGCCTGTGAGGCTGGAAAAAGGTTTTTATTTCTTTTTGCTACACAATCTAACCCTCTCTGAAGAAAAATGAGGGAAATGTATGAATGTGAAAACTTTGGTTTGAATTGTAATATTCTTAGTAGAATTTATTCTTCTGAACAAAGGGAAAAATGAAAGGGTTGGTCATAATCTTGGTTGGCATTTAGCAGCTCCAGATTCTAACTTTCCATGCTTCGGATATCTTCCAGCTCAATATTGCTTCTGACAAAGTTTGACAAAGGAAGAATCTCATGAGATAAAACACATTTGCACCAATATACATTCAAGACCAATATTTAAATTAGCTAGTATGATTAATTGCTTTCAATTTTTCTGGCTTTAAATGATGGTTTATTCATATCCTCTGGGGAATTGTCAAGCTGTCATAACTTAACTGGTGGACTTCATGGTACACTTTATAACATTTTAGGCTTAAATGTGATGGCATGCATGGCCTCCAATTAGTATTGTTTAATAGTAAATTGTAAGTTTAATTCAATTTGGACACTGCCAGACTTCAACCAGCACTGGATAGTTCACCAATAGTAACATAGGATTAATGGTTAAGGCATCTGACTAGAAACCATGAGTTAAGTAATTTAAAACTCTGATTGCTTAATATGAAACACCATATATTGCATTTCTGAACAAGAGGCTATATGCAGAACTTGCTTCAGCTCTAAGCAACACCACTCTATAAAGCCCTAGTAAGACAACATCTAGAGTACTGCATCCAGTTTTGGTCACCACACTATTAAAAAAATGTTGAAACTCTAGAAAGAGTGCAGAGAAGAGCAACCAGGATCATTAGGGGACTGGAGACTAAAACATATGGAACTGGGCATGGCTAGTCTAGTGAAGAGAAGGACCAAAGAATACATGATAGCAGTCTTCCAGTATTTGAGGGGCTGCCACAGAGAGGAGGTGGCCAAGCTATTTTTCCAAAGCACCTGAATCTCAGACAAAGAATAATGGATGAAAACTGACCAAGGAGAGATTCAATCTAGAAATAAGGAGGAACTTTCTGACAGTGAGAACAATGAACCAATGGAAAAGACGTTGCCTTCAGAAGTTATGGGAGCTTCATCACTGGAGGCTTTCAAGAAGAGATCGGACTGCCATTTGTCAGAAATGGTGTAGGGTCTCCTGCTTGAGCGGAGGGTTGGACTAGATGACCTATAAGGTCCCTTCCAACTCTGTCAATCTGCCAAACCACATACCCTTTTAGATGTCATGCTCCAAAGGCTAAGAAAGATTCACAGCGTAACTTCTAAGTAGCATCCTTTATGGTTCTTCACACAAGACAAAAACCTTGCCAAATTAAGCAACTATTTGCACTTTTAAAGATACACTCTGAGAAATTCTAGGGAGGAGCCCCCTTAACTCTCTTCCTCCCAACCAAATATCTCAGCTTTGCTGTCGCTTGATCATTGGGAATGCAGCCTCTTTCTTTGGGTATCCAGACCACATTCCACCACACTTGTTGTGGCCCACCAGCAGCCAGCAGAGCTGGCAGCAGATTCAGACAGTGAGGAGGTTGGGGAGGAACATGGGCCAGTCCTGGATTCTGGGGAAGGCTCTAATGAGGGCTCTGAGTTGGAGGCAGAGAGGGGGCCAGGGCTGTCTGACATTTATCAGCTGCCTTCAGAGTCAGACATCAGTGAGGCAGAGGAACAGCTGGAGCCTGTTCCCAGTGTGTGCATATGCAGAGTTGCCAGATGAAACGAACAGCCAAATCACAGGGATTGACTTGGGAGTAAGGCCAAAGATGGATGGGGAATGGCCCCTCCCACAGGGAATAAAAGAGGTGTGAAAGGGGCGGGGTGTTTGCAGGAGACAATTAGTTCATTCCTGCATTCTTGCCAAGTATTGCGGCATCTGAAAGATATCGGCCTGGCTACTCTCCAAGCCTGATAAAGGTCTGTAGTTGTGAAATCTTTTGAAAGACTGTGGGCCAGGACTTTGCTGGAGAGGAATTCACTGAAAATTAAATAAAAGGGGTTTATCAGGACTCGGACTCGACTTCATGCTGCTGGGAAAGCCTGGTCAGAATAATACTAAGCCTCACTATGTTCACCTTGTTGCTTGATGTGACCTGACTAACAATGTCTACATTTTGCACCTCAACTGACGGTCCTCTTCCTTTCCTTCTTCTCTTCCAGCCTGTGACCTGATGACCCTGGGGATTTTAGCCTTAGTGACTTCTACTGGTTGTGCCTCCGCCAATGCCTTGCAGTCTTTGACAGATGCCATGCACATCCCTCACCTGTTTGTTCAACGCAACACAGGAGGTTCTCCACGGACGGCATGCCACCTGAATCCTAGCCCAGAGGAAGAGGAATACACCTTAGCAGCCCGGCCACCTGTGCGACTCAACGATGTGATGCTGAAACTCGTCACCGAACTGAGATGGCAAAAATTTATAGTCTTCTATGACAGTGATTATGGTAAGTACCATATTTCGTTTCAAAAGAGTTTTTCTTCTTTTTTCTGCATCTCCTTTTTTCTGAATATCTTTTGCTTTTATTTGAAGAAGGTAGACGAAATATACATTTTGGAGCATTGGGGTTTTTTGTGTGTAAGCGTTGGGTGAAAAATAGCTTTTGAATGGACAAACTTTTCTGATTTCCCTTGACTGAAAGGTTGCTGTGAAAACTAATTTTCACCCATCCTGCAAGTTGCTTAGCAACATCTTATCAAGATAGCCGAAGTTTGATTTATCAGAACATTTTTCAGTAAAATATTAATAAACTGTTTGCATTGATTGGCAGGGTTCTCATATTGCATGCAATGCAGGATTCAGGAAGAAAACCTCAGTCTGCTTTTATTTATGTGCTTCTTTTTCATTATCTCTTTGATGATTGCTTCAAAAGTTTAATTTTCTATGAGCCACAATTGCAAGATTCTTGTTATACACAACTTGTTATTTTCCCTGTTTCTGTTTCTTGGACGACCTATATCAAGTTCTGATATAGTAGAGACATCATTTTTCTGCATCTCCTGCTAATTCTTCCTCGGTTTTGGTTCATGGGCTAAGACCTTGTGAGTTGTTACCTCAGTGTGTCTACAGGGTTTGGTTAGAGAAGGCTGGACCATCTGAAAGATCTTGGTTAAATGTAGCAATGAGACAGAATGTTGTTTATTCAATAATCTGTTGCAATTTAGTGTTGAAAAACTAATGCCTGATAAGAAATGTAACTGCTGTTTTTCCCCAAGTACCAGTGGTGTACTAACAAATAGTTAAGTACTATCTCTGCAAGCTCCATTGCTACTGTCCCACTAGGCAGCTCGCCATGGAAGAGCTGTTCAGTGCCCTGGGCGTTGGCTCTGCTCTGCTCTCAACCAGCTTGCAAAATTCCAGAAAATTTAACAATCAGCACTTGTGAGCCAGTGCAAGCTTGCTCCAGTTCACCACTACCTGGTTTAGTAATCCTCAACTTATAATCATTCATTTAACAATGGTTCTAAGTTACAGTAGACTCAGAAAAAGTGACTCATGATCCATCCTTAAAATTATGATTGTTGCACCACCACCCAAGTCACGTAATCACAATTCTTGCTTTTAGGATGGTTGCAACATCCTACAGTCAGACGATCACGATTTGCAACCTTCCTGCTCAATTGAGGAAAACATCCTGATTTGAACTAGTGAAATACAACTGGCTTCGAAATAGCAGCAAGAGCGAGAGAGAATTTTTGCTGCTATTTAGACCATGGAAACGTGTGTCGCACACAAATCTGGTAGACTTGATGTAGGAATTCAAATTGGTTCCCACATTCCTAAGCCATAAGCTTTTCTTTTCTTTTTTAAAGAAAATATTTGAACATGTCTGATCTACCCTATAAAACACAGATTTATGAAGAGTTGCAATTTTTGGACAGTCAATGCATAATTAAAATATGGAATGTGTTGACTTAATTTAAGTCAGTGTTAAACTGCTGGTATAAAATATGAGTGTGAAAGAGTCCTTTCCATTTTTGTTGCATCTTGGATGGCATATTTGGCTCTGTTTTAGCTCCTGGGCGGCTGATATATGAAACTTCATTAGAAAAAGAGTTCTTATTTAAATACACCAAGGTAGAAAGTTGATGGCTGTTCTACAGTGGTCTTCACAAATAATTTCACCATGCTGTGTGGTAGTTTATGGGAGTTGCAGGGAAGAAGATTGATGAAACTTGTCCTGGTTTGTTGACTTTGATTATGATGAACAAGGGTGTTGTATATTCTTTACAGAATTACAGAATAACAGTGTTATTCTAGTGTTCTAGTCCAATCCTTGTTCAAGTAGGAGACCTTATACTATTTCAAACAAACTGTTGTACAGTCTCTTTTTAAATACCCCCAGTGTTGGAACAACTTCTGGAGGCAAACCATTCCAACTGATTAATTGTTCTCACTGTCAGAAAATTTCACTTTATGTCTATGTTGGTTCTCTCCTTGATTAGTTTTTTTAGAAACATATACACTTTCAACTGGGTGTAAGGAAATCAGTTTGTTCTAGCAGTAATAAGGACTTTACTATTGGTTAAAGAGCTTATTTCATTGATGATTCAATTCTGTGTTGCAATAATGGGCACATTGGCTTTGTCTTGTCGCAATTTAGAGTTTTTGATAACAATAGTGAAATGATACTGCTTGATTTGGTACATAGACAAAAATATGTATCTCTGTGTGTATGTGTGTGTGAATAGAATATTTTTGTTCCCTTCTGGGGATATAAAGAGATAATTTAGAGTACAGAAGTATGTGTTTGCACAAGGACAGGTTGGAAACAGCCTTGTTTGCCAATATTGTTCATTTGTTTTATTGTGCAACAATGATTCAGTATAATTAGGAAGGAAGGAAAGAAAGGACTTTTTGAGCTTAAAATGGAACTATTTTTAGTAATGTAAAATAAGCTTAAATTGCAGATTTCTGAATAATAATAAGAGAAAAAAATCAACTACCGTAGTTTTATAAACAGTCTAGTTCTGTGCTAGCTTAAAAGAAAAGGGAAATATAAAGCTCATTATGTCCAACAGGCAATAAAAACAGAACTAATTCTCTGCAAAACAACGGAATGATTAGGCTCAATTAAAATATATTCCTTGTGTTCTGAAGTCCAATTCTATACATATTTACTGAGAAGATTTTGTTTAGTTGTTAACTTTGTTTAATAGAACAACATGTTTTTTTTTATTTGCTGCAATCTCCAGGGAGCCTAAAATGTTTAGTTCAGAGGGTTAAAGGAGCTCCTAAAACCCACCCAGAATGAAACAGTTCACAGAAAAGAAAGATGTTCAAGTAAAAATGCATTGGGCATGACTTTCCACAACTTTCCTGTTTCCTTGAAAATAAGCCCTCCTCAGATAATAAACCCAATTGGGCTTTTGAGCACATACAATAAGCCCTCCCCAAAAATAAGCCCTCCCCCAAAATATTGCAACACAGCAGCAGCCAAGAGGTGACCATGATTGCTGTCTCCTGCACATTAAAAATAATAAGGCCTCCCTGAAAATAAAGCCAAGTGCTTATTTTGGTGGTCAAAAGAAAATTAGACTCTGTCTTATTTTCAGGGAAACACGGTAGGCGCGAGGCTCAAGCACTTCTGCTTCCTTTCCATTTTCTTGCACAGTGAGAGAGAATCAACAGGTTACAGGTACTCCTTGACTCATGACCATAATTGAATCTGGAATTACACTTTTTAGTCATTGTGAGTTATCACATGGGTTGCATCCAATTTTATGACTTTTATTGTGCTGATTAAGCAAACATGATGGTTGCTAAGCGAATCTGTTTTATCTAATGGATAGGGTGTTTTGTTTTGTTTTTTTGCTAGAAGCCAGATATAAATGTCAGAAACAGTTAAAAAAAAACACCCAAAATTTACGGGACACTGCAAACAGCCATAAGTGCGAACTGGTTGCCAAGTGCCCCAAATGCAACTACATAATCATGGGGGACAGTTGGAATTTCAAAAGCAGGTTGTAAGTACTTTGAGGGGAGTCTATCATAACATTGAATAGTCACTAAGCAATTGGTGGTTAAGTGAACTAGCTCTGAAGGTGCAAACTCTGTCAGAATGCTTAAAACATGATATGTTGTTTGAATGTTTTCCTTTTTCTTCTTTTGTGGCATGGGAGTTGGGAGTAACTAAAACTGTTTAGTCAAATTGTATTGTAGATCTTACATTTTGATTAAGGATATGTTATCCAGCTCAGCCTTCCATCCCTCCGAGGTGGGTAAAATGAGGACCAAGATTGGGGTTTGGGGCAAGAGGCTGATTCTGTAAACCGCTTAGAGAGGGCTGTAAAAGCACTGTGAAGCGGTATATAAGTGATATTGCTATTCCTTCCTTCCTCCCTCCCACCCTCCCTTCCTCCCACCCTCCCTTCCCTCCCTCCCTCCCTTCCTCTTATTCCCTTTCTCCTTCCCATTTTAACAGTGGTTAAAATGCAATATTGCATGCTAACTCTGCCCACTGCCAGAAGTTCGATTCTGCCTGGCTCAAGGTTGACTCAGCATTCCATCCTTCTGAGGTGGGTAAAATGAGGACAAAGATTGGGGTTGGGGGCAAGAGGCTGATTCTGTAAAACGCTTAGAGAGGGCTGTAAAAGCACTGTGAAGCGGTATATAAGTGATATTGCTATTCCTTCCTTCCTTCCTTCCTCCCTCCCTCCCTCTCTCCCTTCCTCCCACCCTCCCTTCCCTACCTCCCTCTCTCCCTTCCTCCCTCCCTCCCTCCCTCCCTATTATTCCCTTTCTCCTTCCCATTTTAACAGTGGTTAAAATGCAATATTGCAGGCTAACTCTGCCCACTGCCAGAAGTTCGATTCTGCCTGGCTCAAGGTTGACTCAGCATTCCATCCTTCTGAGGTGGGTAAAATGAGGACCCAGATTGTTGGGGGCAAGAAGCTGACTCTGTAAGCCACTCAGAGAGGGCTGTAAAAGCACTGTGAAGCAGAATATAAATCTAAGTGCTATTGTTATTAACATTGTAACACTCTCTAAAAGCTTGACAACAGGATGTAGAGTATAGAAATTGATGTAATAAACAGATTAACACTCCCTCCTTTCCAAACTGTGGGTGATGGGCTAAAACTGGGGGGGGGGGGTGCTTTTACTAATGATGTTGTACAAAATGATCAGAAAATCATAGGACTGGAAGGGACTGTGGAGGACCTAGCATCATTCTGCTACCCTCCACCAGGCTGTGAGTGTAGCCTAATATTGCTTCTTTTATAAAGCTGCATATTCACTTTGGATTTGTCGGGGGCAGGGGGAAGCTGCTTTGGAGCAGAGGAGAGCATGGCTGTAAAACTGACACCTTGCACCAAACTTTCTGCCTCTGCAATACAAGGAGAAGATGCAGTTGCTTTTAAGAGTTGCAGAAAAGGGTTATCGGAGCACCCACACATTCTGTTGCTGCTTTGCCTCTTTGAATAACAAGTACTGACCAACCCAATA